GAAGGTGAATTATAATCGTAGAGCTGATTTTGTGGGGTAGAATAAAAAATGAAGGTGAACATAATCGTGTGCCTTGCAACATGGGCCAACACGCATGCGCGAACCCATTGGTCTTAGCGCCTCCACAAAATATCACGGATGAGGCATAATTGTGAGTGAGGTACATTGCACAGTCTGCGGTAACCGAAAATCCTCAACCAGTAAGTAGGGGAGGGGGTCGTATCTGTCGCGGAAATATCAAAGCATCATGAGCCCAGGTGGTGAGATGAGCGGTAAGTGACACCGCTTAACACGCTCACGATGGTTGGTAGGGGAGGGCCGGTATCCCAATACCCAGATCACCTAACGACAGAAATCCAAAATTCAGTGCATCATTCATCTATCATCCCAAGCTCGTGAATCCATATCAGACACAGTAAGGCTGGGATACTAACTTACTTATCATTTGACAGCGGAAGTCACTGTAAAGGGCTTATCGCATTAAGAGTACTTCTCAGGAATCGTCTCTGAACAGGCAAAAAAGTGCATGGCGTACCTCGAAGACGAAAAATCAACGAGAAAAGCTTCATCCCTCTTCTTTACCCAAAAATGGTTCGGTTGCAACCGTTGGGGATAATACAGAGGTTTTCGAAGAGAACTGAGATTGTGTTATCATCAAAGAAAAATAAACCTGGTTTCAAGGGAAAGGTTCGTCTAATTCAGGAAAATAATCAAAAGCAGAGGAAAGATGTAGAGTAGTGGCAAGTGGCGCTGCTTACCACGCAATTGGTTTGGAGGTCAGGCGAACCAACCGCCCTTCTACCATCCAGGGACGGTAAATTGAAACCAAACTTGCTTGGTAGGGCAAGAACATCGAACTGTACATCGGCTGCCCACCTTCCCCCTCCCCTTTCGCAAACATTGTTGTAGTCAATGTCGCATTCAAGGAGCCACTTGATTCTGAATGAAAGTGAAATGCATGCCGCATTGCCGCATACCAGAGGGGAGTTGGTCAATGACACTGCTCTGTTTTCCATCCTTTAACTAA